GAGACAGACACAGTGGTGAGACAGACACAGTGGTGAGACAGACACAGCGAGGCCAAGACAGCTGCAGGTTAGACTTTTCGCAAGCTCACCCCTGCAGCCAGAGGCAGGAGAGCGGTTAGTAAACACACAACAAAATCCCAGAGCCAAACACCCCCAGGGGTGTCCCAGCCCAACTCTCTGACGGGCTCAGAGGTGGGCCTGCTCAGATTCTCTGCCCCTTCCCAAGAAGTGGGAGACTTGGAGAGGCCGATGCCTCCCTCGGGCCAGTCCTTCTGCTTCTTCCCCCATGCAGACTCATCCACAAATTGCCTCCAGGTTTATTGCTTGCCTTCCTTCTTTGCTGGACTCCAGCATCGTCCCACCTGTCTTGTGTGGATCCTGCCATCGGTCTGCCAACCCTTCTCCCCAAACCTTCCATATACTCCCGTTCAGACCCTTCAACTTGGCATTCAGCATCTCCATGATCTAACCTGTGACTTCAATTCCCCCTGCTCCCACTCTGCCCCAGCGCTGGGACCCCCTGTCTTGGGACAGCCTCCCCACCTGGCCTGCTCATCCCAGTCCTGATTTGGCTTGGCAGGGAGCACAGTCTGTGGGTGCCTTTCTGAGAAGGTCAGGTGGCCTGTGTGTCTGCCCCAGTCAGAGGAGCTTTGGCATAGAGGAAATCCCAACCCTGCTACTTCCTGGCAGTGTGACCTTGAGATGTGCCTCAATTTTCCCTTCTGTAAAATGGGGAGGATGATCCCTCCTCAGGAGTCAAACCTCTTGACACAGTGCAGATCACAGAGATGCCACTTGGTACACTTTAGCTATTATTATCACTATCAACACTATTATTACTTCATGCAGTCCCGTGCGGCAAACACACTTCCTGGAGCACCAAGCCACCAGCCGTGTAACAAGGTTGCCAACTCACAAAATGCCATGAAAGTATTAGAAACACTCACCTCCAGCCCAACTGAAATATGGGACACTGCGGCCCAGGGCTCCAGAGCCGGTGAACGGCAGAGCTAGACCAGAAGCCTGATCTCCTGCCTCCCGAGCCAGAATTCTTCCCCCACAAGCTGCCACTGTTAGAAGCCAAGTTCAAACACCGGCCTTTAAGTGTGGTCGTCTCAGAGTACACAAAGAGCAAACCTTGGCTACATAGAATAATCTTTATTATTTGTTCTCACTGTTAACTTCCCCCTTTTAATACCCCTAGGTACCTTCAGAGGGGGCTTCTCCCTCCTCCTTCCAGCCAAGGCTTGTCTATCTCTCCGCTGTTGTTTCTCCCCCTCACTTCCGTCCCCTCTCCATCACTGGGGAGGCCTTTCTCTGACCTTCCCTGGCAAAGCCAAAGGGCAATTGCCGGCTTGCCTTTTCACTACTCAGCTAAAAAGCCAAATTCCTTTCCTCCCGGGGCTCTACTGGATTTTTTGTTGTTGTTCTTAGCCTCAAGGGTCTATTCTGGAAAAGACACTGAACCTCTCTCTCCTGACTGGCTCCCTCTCCTTAAACATGCCCAGTTCCTCCCACCCTAAAAACCAACAAGCAAACAAATCAAGCCTCTTCTATCCTCTTCAATTGAACTCAGCCCCATTCCTTTCCTCCTCCTTCAGCCCCAGTTCCTGGCAGTAACCTGTTATCTCCAAGTCCCATCTCCTCAGCTTCGCCTCCCACGAGGCTGTGTCTGCCCCTCCCCACCCTCCACTCAACCTGCTCCTGCTCAAGGCCCCGACCTCCATTTTGCTAAATCCAACCAGCATTTTACAGTCGTCAACGTGCCTGGGCTTTTGGCCTCCTCACGCCTGCAGACCACACCCTCCAAGGGCCTTCCGGATTCCTCCCTCTGTTCCACCAGCAACTTCTCGGTGTCCTTGGTGGGTCCTCCTTCCAACAGTCATTGACGTTCCGTCCTGGGCCCTCTTCTCTTCCCTTGTTCTCTCCCTAGCCTCCCACGGCTGACTTTCCATCTCTAGCTCATGACTCCTAGATCATCCCACACCCGCCTCCTGAGCCCCAGGCCTGGGCAC